ATTCAACATTGTACTAGAAGTCCTAGCCAAGGCCATAAGGCAAGAAAGGGAAATCAAAGGCATCCAAATTGGTAAGGAAGAAGTCAAAACTATCCCTATTTGCTGATGATATGATCCTATACCTAGAAAACCCAAGGGACTCAGTCAGAAGTCTGCGGGAACTAATTGAGAGATTTAGCATTGTGGCAGGACATAAGATCAACATCCAAAAATCAGTTGTATTCCTCTACACCAGCAAAGAGATTGCTGAAAAAGAAATAAGGAAATCAATAATACTTATAATAGCTACCAAAAAAATAAAAAATAAAATACTTGAGAATAAATCTTACCAGGGACACAAAAGACCTGTACAAAGAAAACTATAAAAAACTACTTCAGGAAACTATATGAGATCTACATAAATGGAAGAACATCCCATGCTCATGGATGGGAAGATTGAACATTGTGAAAATGTCAATTCTACCCAAAGCAATCTATACATTCAATGAAATCCCAATCCAGATCCCATCAACATTCTTTAGAGATATGGAAAAATCAATCACTAACTTTATGTGGAAAGGAAAGAGACCTCAGATAAGTGAAGCACTATTGAAGAAGAAGAGCAAAGTTGGAGGTCTCATACTGCCAGATCTCGAAATCTATTATATAGCCACAGTAGTCAAAACTGCCTGGTATTGGTACAATGACAGACACATAGACCAACGCAACAGACTTGAGAACCCAGAAATAGATCCATTGACCTATGTTCAGCTGATCTTTGACAAACGGCCTAAATCCATTAAATGAGGAAGAGAATGTTTGTTTAATAAATGGTGCTGGCAAAACTGGAGATCCATTTGCAGAAAAATGAAACAAGGTCTGTACCTCACACTATACACAAAATGAACTCCAGATGGATCAAAGACTCAAATGTGAAACCTAAAACTATAGAGTTCCTCAAGGAAATACTAGAGACAAATTTAGGGGCCCTAATATATGGCATAAATAGACTATCAAGCATAATCTAAAATGCACAAAGAACAGAAGATAAACTAGATGAATGGGACCTTCTAAAAATTAAATTTTTATGTGCTTCCAAAGTCTTCTCCAAAAGAGTTAAAAGAAAACCTACAGATTGGGAAAAAATATTTGGCAATGACATATCGGACAAGGGTCTTATCTCTAGAATTTATAGACAATTCCAAAACCTCAAAAACAAAAAGACAAATAATCCAATTAAAAAGTGGGGAGAGGACATGAATAGACACTTCAGCAAGGAGGATGTTCAGGTGGCCAACAAACATATGAAGAAATGCTCACAATCATTAGCCACTAGAGAGATGCAAATCAAAACAAAGAGATACCATCTTGCTCCAGCACTAGTAGCAAAGTTCAACAAGACAGAAAATAAAAAATGCTGGTGAGGATGTGGAGAGATTGAGACTCTCATACACTGCTGATGCGACTGTAAAATGGTATACCCGCTGTGGAAAGCAGTATGGCAATTCCTTAAAAAGTTGGAATTAGAAATACCATTTTTCCCAGCCAATCCAATATTAGGTATATATCCTAAAGAAGTGAGAACCATGACAAGACCAGACATATGCACACTCATGTTCATCACAGCACTATTTAAAATAGCCAAAATATGGAAACAACCTAGGTGTCCATCAACTGAGGAATGGATAACCAAACTTTGGTATATGCAACCCTAAAGAGTAACCTGGAATCTGCAAAACACCACATAACACGGGTGAACTTGGAAGACATTATGCTGAGTGAAATAAGTCAATCACAGAAGGACAAATATATTATATTAGTCCATTACAGTAAAAGTCAAGGAAAGAAATTTTCTTTGTTGGTTACAAGGGGTGGGAGGTGAGGGGAGGGAACACTGTTAGATAGGTAGAGATAAGTATTGATTTGAGTGAAGAGAAGGGCAATGTACCAAATGTGAGTGCTCAACATGGTGGCATTGAGGAAGAGGAAGACATAGAGAGGTACATGGGAGGTACAGACAACAAAGATTAACCCTTTTGCACATACAGTACTGCATTGTCAGTAAAGGTAAACATGGGTATATGGGTGGATAGATGGGTGGACAGGCTGAACTATTAGGTATGTCTATGAAGCAGGGAGTGTACCCAAGACCATGTGTAGGGTTGGCAGACAATGGTCCTATAAGTGTATTTGTATGATCTGAATTCCCAGGTATATAGTAGAGCTGACAAGGGACAAGATTGTAGTCACTTCTTGGTCACAACCAGCTACACAGAGGGAGTGAGTAGTTGAACCTGTGGGCTCAGGACCATAGTTACATGGGGCATCAAGCTCAATTGGCATAACATACTACACCAAACATTGTTCCACCTCCTACTTTGGTGGATAGCAACCGGGATGTTACAAGCTTGCAAGCAGCCATCTAGATGCAACAATGGGTCTCTCTTTGTCCAGAGCATAGAAGAATGAAGAAAATCAAAAGGTTCATGGAAACAATTAGTCCTAGCGACTAGTACACCATGTGATCCGCAGCCTATATGACTATGAGACCAGAAGACTTAGATGGTGTCCAGCTACCACTGTCAACCACTCGGAGGGGGATCTATGTAGGAGATCCTGGATGGAGAAGGAGAACAATGTGGAACAAAACTCAAAATCATTTGGAAAAAAAAGGGGGGGATGGGGACAAGCTTTGCTGGTCTGATAGAGCCTGGTGGAAGCACTGAGACTATGGCCCCTAGCTGTCCTTCAGGTCTGGAATTGAACCCACACCTATGGCCTCCAGCCAAACAAAAGACAGACATATAAGCCGAACATTTATCTGAGGAGATACAGTCCTTGGAGAGAACAATCATGGGGGAAGGAAGGGCTGTTTATGCACAGGTAGACAGCTCAGGGGGCAGGAGTACCTGGAGGGATGGACACAGGGAAGAGGTAACTATCAATAGGAAGTGGGAGGGAAGCTGTTGCAAGTTGTAGTCAATGTCATGAGACAAAGTATATGTGAACTGCTGTATGGAAAGTGAATTTGCTCTGTAAATTTTCACCCTAATCACAATTAAAAAAAAGAAGAAGAAGAAGTATAAGAGAGGTTTTTTCCAACATCTACATCTCTGTTGATTTGTATTAGGCTTCTTATTAATTAAAACCTCCATTTATGTCTTCTTCCTCATGGTACATTCCTACACTTCTCATCTTCTAATTAATTAGTGAAGACTTCTCTCATCTAATATATTAATAAAATTTACTTTGTAAAGCAAAAGTCAGATCTTTAGAGGACTCAAGCAATTGTTTAAACTTAGGAATTAAGAAAGGAGCTCTGGTGGCATAGTGGATAAGGAATTTGCCGCTAACCAGAAAGTCAATAGTTCCAACCCACCAGCTGCTCTGTAGAAGAAAGATAGGGTGATCTACTTCTCTAAAGATTTACTGCCTCAGAAACCCAAAGACTGTTGCTGTGAGTTGGAATTGACTTGATAGCTGTGAGTTTGGTTTTCAAAGGAATTAGGGAACCTTCTATAATCTAGGCTCAAAATGGACATTTTGACAATGAAACAGTGACTTAATAAAGTATTAAAAACTTTCTGGTGCAGTTTATTTTTATTTTCAGAATGAGAGACTTATATCAAATGATTTCAAAATAGACCTTGCAAACATAAAATTCTATGCTTTATTTTCCTGAGATATAATCTTTATTCTAAGATAATTGATATCTATAAAATTTAATATAATACTTGAGAAGAAAGTAAATTGCTTATTTATAAATGATTATATGAATTTAAATGACTAATAACAATGTATAACAAAAAAGATAGAAAAGAAATATACATTACCTTTACATGAAGGACTTGGACTCCACCCAAATTTAGTGCATGATGTATCTCCTCTTTCACTGTGTTCAAAACCCTTGTTACATTTATATTGAAATCGCTCATTTTCCTTATAAATTCTGTTGGAAGATATAGGATATCCATTGCTAATTTCTGGTAGATTGCAGGAAATTTCTGAAGAACAGAGGAAAAATTCCAAAATGTTAATTATGAATTAAAGGGTTGTGACCATGGCAGAGTCATATAAAAACATCACTTTTGCTTCATTACATAAATCTCTCAGCCAAATCAAATAAAAGCTCTGTTTTGACTTGAAAGATTTATCTATTATTCTTATCATTCATTTTAGAAGGACATTAAAACCTTTACTAATTTATTTTGCTAGTTTTATTTGGTTTGAGGATATGTTCATTTGTCCTTTTTAAATAAATGATGGCCAGCATTGTTCTTGAAATGTACTAATAACATTGAATAAAAATGTTGGTTTGCTGTGATATGTATTTTCACTATGTGAATGGCAAAAGTTGCACATATCCTAGTTATCAATTATATAATAATTATGGACTGAAAATTTTGTCAATGAAGTTAATTTAACTCTTTGTCATTAAATTTCTGAAAAGTAACTGGCCTTTTGTTTTTGTGGCTTTACCATTCATCCAGCTTTTCTGTCAATTAAAATCTGGTCATTATCTTTAACACCACCTTTTCTCAAACATTTTTTCTTCCTAGGAATATGACAATAATAACTAGCTTCTTTGATTTACAATCTTTCTAATCCATTTTCCTATTTCATAGTTTAATGGCCTTTCATCTGGTCATTCTATCACTCCAACTAACATCTTTTGTTGATCCCAAAATCAGGTTGAATAAGAGCCAAACTCTTTAGTGTGCTGTGTATAACACTTCAGAGCCTCTCAATAGCAACAGAATTCTTCCTACTTGCACAGCCATGCTGAACAACAAACAAGCATAAGCAGAGTGTCATGTTCCTTGAAGCCTGACTGAATTTGTATCTTTCTCCCCACAACATACTCCTCCCATCCTCAACTTCTTCTAAAATATCTGCATTCTCCCTTTCAGACTTCACTGCAATTGCAGGAAGTTTTCACTAGCCACAGAAATCTAGTTGTACTACTGTAAACCCTTTCCATGAGACTCTAGAGCATGTAGCATTTTCTAGGCTGATTATCAGCATTAGGTTACTATCATTGACTCTGTGAGCTCGTTTTCTTAGAATGCGTTCCCAAGAAGAGAAATGCTTCTGCATGGATCTCACTGTGAGATAGACTAGACTACAGAAGTGTAAAAAATTTATAAATTTAGGATAATATTAAAAAACAAAAACTGCAGAAATGTCTGCTACAATATTGGTAAAATGAAGTATGGTGCTAAGTCAAACAAATCAAACATAATGTTTCATTTCAAAAGCCAAAATCATCATATTGATTACAGGCCAGCAATATTACAACTAATGAAATTTTAGCTTATAGTTTACTATAGAATTATTCTTAAAAGGCAAAGATTTATTCAGTGAATTTAATTCAGTTTATCTAATATTGATATTAAACTCACAGTGCCAAGACAGCAAATATAAAACAGATGTGCTCTTAGAAGTGTTATTTTAAAAACGATGTCATCAGAGTACATAAGTGGAAATAAATGATAAATCTTTGTTTCTTAAAATAAGAAAAATATGTATTACAAGAATGCAACTTGAAGCAGAAATGCTCAGCTTTCTATTTCAGCCTGTAAGAGCCACGTACACTACTATACTTATGGTTAAGAACATGGACTTTGGTGTTAGATAACCTAGGTTTGAATCTTAATTCTACCATTTGCATCATAGTAAGCTGTTGTTGTTGTTATGTGCTGTCAAGTCGGACCCGATTTACAGCGACCACTCCTTGGGTTTCCGAGGCAGTATCACTATGGAAGTATATTGCCCCATCTTCCGTCCGAGGAGTGGCTGGTGGGTTTGAACCGCCAGCCTTCTAGTTAGCAGTCAAGTGCCTTAGGCACTACACTACCAGAGGTCCTCATCGTAAGCTAGGGAAAGTGATTTAACTTCTCATGGTCTCGGTTTCTTCAAATATAAAACAGTACACAACTCAAAGAATTGTTTAGAAGGTAAAATGAAATGGCACATGTAAAGAACTTGCATCAATTACAAGGAAATAATACATGCTCAATAAAAATCAGTTAATGGTATTATTTGTGTTCTTTATAATAGTATGTTGAAATATGTATTTTCGTAAGAATGGCTGAAAACTTTCAAAGGTTCAAATGAAAAATAAGTGTATCTTACCCACACATTTTGGTATTTCTCCACTCCATGAACCATCTGCTGAACAATGAATTTCTTTAGGCCCAACTAGCATGAAGTGTGAATCACACTCAAACTGTACCACTTGGCCATAAGTGTATTCCTGATCTGGTTCCAGTGCACCACTGATAACTCTCCCATTCTTTGGTTCTGTTACTGGAAAACACTTAACAACTGAAAAAAATAAATACAACTTTTACAATAGAATTTGGAACCTTTAACATGAAAAATGTGTGTGTGTGTGTGTGTGTGTGTGTCATTGTTTTTGTTGTGTGCCATAGAGTTGATTTCCCACTCATATTGACCCTATAAGACAAACTTGAACTGCCCCATAGGGTTCCTTAGGCTGTAATATTTACTCAAGAAGATTGTCAGGACTTTTCTCCAGCAGAGAGGCTGGTGTGTTTGAACAACTGACCTCTTGGTTACCAACCAAGCTTTTAAGCATTGCACCACCAGGTCTCCTACCATATATGCACATACATACATATTATATAATATATATACATACATTTGTTCACAAGCAATATGAGATGGGAGCAAATTACTTGAATATCCTTATAGAAGCATTTGATATATCTTTTTAGAAGAAAGAAATGGTACTAAGTAAAAAAAAAAAAATAATAATAATAATAATATGTTTGTTTTCTGACTTTTTTCTACAGGAATGGACAGAAAAAAAAAATTACTACTTTAAATACCATTTTATATTCTTAAAGTAACAAAAAGTAATTGCAAAATATACAACTTGGTATAATTGTATGCAAAATTACCATCTGTGCCATGAGTCATATAACACTGTATTGCTAAAATGTGTAAAATCAAGTTTTATTATTATATTAACTTCAATAGAAAAATGGTCCTTAATTTTTTTAATCCTCTCCAACTTCAATGTTCAACATAATTTGAGTACTTCTTTTGATTTAATTAATATTTTCCAACTTCCCTAACATTATAACATTCCATCTTTATTTTATAGTAGAATGACCTGGGGTGTTTACTAAAATGTAAATTTTAAGCACTATCCCCTCACCTCTGAGAAGCTATGGTGACTAGTGGTTTAGCATTCAGTTCCTCACTAAAAGGTCAGTAGTTCTAACTCTTCAACTGCTCCAAGGCAGAAGGTTATGGCAGTCTACTTCCATAAAGACTAAAGACTAGGAAACCCTATAGGGCAGTTCTACTCTTTATATAGGGTCATTATGAGTCAGAATTACTCTAAGGCAATGAGTTTATCTCCTCACCTTCAGAGATACTGACTACAATATTTCTCTTTAGTAGTCATACATTTCAGTTAATAGACACTTCAGTTGATTTTGATGTAGCTGTACCCTAAAGTATCTCTAAGTGAAGCATTTATCCTTTTCCTCTCATTTCCATTGATGAAAACTCATCCATTCTCTTTTTGAGACAGGATTGTTTGAGTGATCACTTTTCTTCTTTCTCACTTCTCACCTCTCTCTTTCTCTGTCTTCTTTCACTTCTCACTGTGAGATTAGGAAGGACTTCTGATTTCATCTTTTACTCATTTATTTCTAATAGGGATTACTAATAGGGTAGGGATTACTAGCTCAAACCTGAAAACAGGATCTACATTTTTCTCCTTTCTACAGTTTGCTTTACAGATCAGTAAGAAAGGTCAGAGCTCTTCCTTATTTCTTATTTCTGTCTCTTTTCTATAAGACTAAGATGACAACAAAATCTCCCTTGGCAAGGAAATGAGAGATATGTCTACTTCATGTTCTCTACTTCAGCTTTTACCAGAGATCTCTGCAGTTGGTTGGTTATTGGAGAAGTGTTTGTCAATTAATGAAACTGAAATTCTGTTCTTCATTTAGACAGTGACCATTGTATGTACTCCTAGTGGTTAGACTCCAAGAGAGTAAAACGAGCTTTAGATTCCCTAATCTCTACTATTTTGACTATTATAAAGGCTGTATGCATATGTGTATTGAAATACCAAACAATGGTAATTGAAAGGACTGGATACCTCCTCATTGAACTGCCCTAGAAAACATAAAAAATAAATAACTTGAATAAGAAATAATTTAATCATAAACTTAGAGGATATTTTAATATAAGACCTTTGGAAAAATATTTCATACTTTAGGTATTTTAATCCACTTGTAAAACAATTCACATCTACCTCCACATAAAGGAATATTATTGGTCCATCCTTCTGGTTCACATTCACGGTAATTAATTGCTCCTAGCAATTGATACCTGAAAACCCAAAAATAATAGAATGGTGAGATAATGTGTGTTTACATGTAGTTTTAAGTACAAGGAAGTTGTATTTCAGCAAAAATTAATATCATGTTTATTTTTTCCTTTCTTTCTTCTTTCCTTTCTCCTTCCCTCCCCCTCTCAACTTCCCTTCCTTCCTTCCTTCCTCCCTTCCTCCCTTCCTTCATTCCTCCCTTCCTTCCTTTTTTCTTTCATTCAATTTCTTTTTTAAGAAAGACTGTCAGACACTCAGGTGAATGGAGTTGGAAAAATCATATTCTTTGGTTCATGATATATTTCACTTATTTTTATGCATAATTTTCTTATTTTCGATTAAGTTAGTTAATTTGCTAAGGACCCTTGGTGGCATAGTGGTCAAGCATTTGACTGCTAACCAAAAGGTTGGTGGTTCAAATTCACCAGCCTCTCCATAGGAGAAAGATGTGGCAGCCTGCTTCAATAAATATTTATAGCTTTGGAAACCCTGTGGGGAAGTTCTCCTCTCTCTCATAGGGTTGTTGCTGTGTGTCAGAATTAGACTCCATTGCAATGGGTTGTTTTTAGTTAATTTGTTACACTTAATAACTTAATAAGCTCCATGAACTATCATCAAAAAATAAAATAAAGAAATAAACTAAAACACAGTAACTAACTGATAGTCATGTTACCATTTCCCTAGTTTTATTCCATACACTTGCCTCCCATATTTCTTCATTATGATACTTTGTGAGTTTTACATTTGGGCTTTCTACACAACCAAGGACAGCACTAGACAAAATCTTTAGTGTATATTTTGTTTTCAGCACTTGTTATTTTCCCATTTCCATCCTAGAATTTTTCAGAGTGTGGTCAATGAGTCCAGTATCCTCCTGCAATCCATTCACTATTTAATTTGTCTCATTACAGTAACTCATAAAGTTTTCCCTTCCCATCTAAAATGTTTTATTTTAATCTATGTTCTTTGGAGAGGTGTGAAATATGCAATCAGGGCCAGAGACTTTGGATCAAGACACAATACCCTCCTCGTTTAATAAGCCTGTGCATTTTCATTATTACAGATGAAGATTTACTCACAGGGGATGCCTGGAGACAAAGCCATTTATAAAGAGAGAGAGAGAGAGAAAGGCACGGTAATTTTATCACCACAAGAGAGGTTTTTTTGTTTTATTTTGTTTTGTTTTAAAAAAGGCCTGGTCATAGGAGACTTATGGCAAGATGTTGGAATAAGCAAGATGGCAGAACCAATTGAAATAGATACAGAAGATAATCCTGGAACCATAAGCTTCAAAGGGAAGGATAAAAAAGTGGAGTAAATATTGACTAGTAGAAGAAAATAAAGAGGGTCTGGTGGCATAGTGCCTAAGGCACTTGATTGCTAACCAAAAGGCTGGTGGTTCAAACTCACCAGCCACTCCTCGGAAGGAAGGTTGGGCAATCTATTTCCATAGTGATACTGCCTCAGAAACCCAAGGAGGGGTCTCTATGAGTCAGCTCCGACTTGACAGAACATAACAACAACAAGGAGCCAAAGGGAATTGTGAACTGTTAGCTGGTCTGAAGGTGTGACCATTTTGAATATGTAAGTGGGATTCTGATCCAGCCACGAATCTGATCATTGGATCCACCTGCTGAGGACTGCATGGGCAACTGCATTGGTGGCTGAAAACCCAAAAGGTGTGATATTTTCCTTGTTCTTCTTATATCCCACACCCTCCTGGTAAATAGAGTTGTGGCCATCCCACACCACCACCCACTTTCTGTACCAGCAGGAATTCCATCCCAGACTGGGTGCCATTACACCAGCTGCCTTCTGGAAAGGCAGGAACTGGTCCCAAGACTAGGCGACCTGTTCCCAGCTACATTTGAGGGCAAGTAAGAACTTCTTCTGAGATCAGGTTCCCTATACCCAGCCAGCTTTGGGGAGGGTAGGGACTTTTTCTGGGAATGGGACCATGCTTGCATTTATCTTTTGAGACAGTAAGAATTTTGTCTGGGACCAGATGCTCTGCCCACAGCTGCATTTTGAGCCTGAAAGCAAGTGCCTTGCTCCCAATCATCTTTTGGATCAGTAGAAATTTTTCTGTGTCCTGGTGCCTTAACCTCTGAAATTTTCTGGGCCAGCAGGACTCATCTGAGAGCAGGAAGCCTGCCCCAGTTGCCTTCTGGATAAAGAGGAACTGGTTCTAAAATCAGCCACCTTGCTCCCAACAGCATTTTGGGTAGGCAGAAATTTTCATTGGTACAAGGTGTCCTACATTAAGCTACCTTTAGGGATAGCAAGACATTTTCTGGAGGTAGAGGCCCTCTGCCCAGCTTCCTTTTGGGACAGTAGGAACTTTTTCTGAGACCAGATGGCCTAGCTCCAGTCTCTTTTTGGGATGGTAGGAATTCATTCTTGAATCAGGTGCCTTACTCCCTCCACCATTTGGGTTGGCAGGAACATTTCCCAGGTCTGGGGGCCCTGCCTCCAGACATCTCTGAGATCAGGTTGTCTTCTGGATAGGCAGGAACTAGTACCCTGATCAGGTGCCTGCTCCCCTCTGCCTGCTAGGCCAACAGAAATACAGATTGAGTGCCCTGTCCTCTGTCCCCCCAATTTTGTTTTGTTTGTTTGTTTTCAAATTATTCTTTTGTCCTCCTTTCTTTCTTTTTATTTTTTTCTTTTTCCCTTCTTTGGCTCTCATTTTTTTCCTCCCTTTTCCTGGTTTCCTTCTTTTTTCTTTCTTTTCTTTTTTCTCCTCTTTTCATTCTTCCCATCTTTTGGTTTACTTTCCACATATTTTTCTTTGTCATTCTTTTGTCTTTTATTTTCTTATTTTTATTTTAATTTATTGTTTTATCTTTTTGCTATTGTTGCTACTTGTTTATGTCCCTTGTTTTTACTTTTTGGGGATTACTGTGATTTTTTTGTACTTCTGTCCCATTTTGTGGGAGACAATAACAACATCCACAACATCCAACCACATCCATGCTTCTTGCAATGTCACCTACTGGGCAAGGGCCACCATCTTCTTTGTTCCAACTGATCTATGATAGACAGTGGCCAATACCAATCCAACTCACCCTCAATTGCTGTACATGAAGAGCTAACAAAGCTGTGAACACACTCTCATCCTATATCACATCTAACAGCAGACAGGTGATAAATACCTAAGTGCTAGCAAACTACTGAACTGAGCAGGATACCAGTCATGCATACTCAAATATATTAAAATAAAGCCAGAAAAAAGAAAAGAAAAGAAAAAACCTGGGTGAAGCACATCAACATAAAATCACTAATTAAATATAAATACAATGATATCACAATGTCTCAGAGACAACTGACAATCCCAGTTCATACAAAGAAGCAAGATAAAGTAGTACAAACAAAGGATCAGACCTCCCTGAGGACTAATTGGCATTGGAACTACCTGGAATTTGACTACTAACCAGAAGGCTAGAGGTTCAAATCCACCACCCCTTCCTCAGAAGGAAGGTTGGACAATCTACTTCCATAGTGATACCACCTTGGAAACCCAAGAGGGGGTTGCTATGAGTCAGATCCGACTCAATGGCAGTGTTTGTTTTTATTTTTTTTTAAATAGAGAATTCTAAATAATTATATTTAGGTATTTCCAATGGATTTAGAGACAGATCAAGGAAAACACAGATAAAACTCCAGAACAAATTGGGAAAACAATATAAGAACAAATGGAAAAAAATAAATGAAAAATTAGAAACCATACAAAAGCAGCAACTAGAAACCTAGATGACTAATGCGAGGATTGGAGAAATAGGTAACATATTGAAAAACCAAAGGAGTAGAATCAAATAAAAAACCTCTCAATACTACTTTGTTAAGGGATCAAACTGAAGAAAAGACCAAAGCAAAATGAAAAGCCTACAATTATTGTGTGACACCATTCAGAAGAATAACTTATATGAGATCAGAATTCTGGGACAAGAAAAGAAAAATAAAACCATAGAGAAAATTGTCAAAGATTTGTTGAAAGAAAACTTCCCTAATATGTTGAAATATGAGAGGATATTCTTTCAAGAAATTCAATGAACACAAAACAAGATAAACTCCAAAAGAAAATCACCAAGATACATATCATAATCAAACTTACCAAAACCAAAGACAAAGAAAGAATCTTGAATGCTCCACAGAAGAAATGAAAAGATACCTACAAAGGGCAACCAATAAGATTAAGTTATGATTTCTTGGCAGAAATCATACAGGCAAGAAGGTAATGAGATGACATTCATAAAACCCTGAAGGCAAAAAATTCCAGCCAGAATTACATACCCAGAAAATTGTCCCTCAAATATTATGATGAATTAAGACATTTCCAGAGAAACAGAAATTAAGGAGATTTGTTAAAAATAGACCAACCTTATAAGACATGTTAAAGGGAATCCTTTGGACAGAGAACTAACAACAGCACAGAACAATGGATGATTAGCACATGTGGTACATAACTCAGAAACCAACAAAAATAAAGAAGTATTCAAAGTAGAATAAACTTAACAAGACTGCAAATGGTGAACCAGAGACATCAAATTGAAACTGAGGACAACTACAAACCTAAAAGAAGGAATAAGCAGTATAGGTACAGAACTTCCAAATGGGGAAGAAGTCAAGGAGATCTTGAGAAAGTACAGACTGTTTTAAACTTGGGAAGAAAATAATAAATTACC